CTTCACTGGAGTCAAGAGTTGTATTTTTCAAGAAAACAAGATAGGGTTTGAAATGCTAGTGAGACCGTGTTCAACCCTTTTCTGGGCCCGTCTTTAGTTTTCTGGTATGAAAGTAGCTTACAAAAGCCAACAGCTGTCACTTCCAAATCCATGCTTAGCAGAGGAATTGAGTTAGTGAGCATGTGTACGCTGCAGCTTGTTCTTGTTGCAGTTCAGTTCAACGAAATAGGGTGCTTGAAGCTTCCTAGCTAAACGAGTTGGCGACTATTTAACGTTTATATTGCATCTGAATGCAGTCTTGTTCAGTTCTAGGCGTACCACGTGGGCTGAAGAAAGGAAGCTCAATACAGAGACATTTGGAGTGTCTGGACGGTTCCTTCGCGGCCGCAGCTTTCGTGGTGGATTTCGAGGTGGAAGGGGTAGCGGAGCAGCAAGGCGAAACCAAACTACTCACAGAGCTGGTACTGGCAGAGTGTAACTTCAGAGGCAAGTTTTTTTAGCAAGAATAAATAGTGTCTCTGAGCCAGGTTTGTCTCTTATTCCTTGCCTGAACTGTCTGTGCAACCTCTTGCTCTCCAGTCTCATGGATATATCAAGAATTGTTCCTTATTGTATCTGATCTGTCCTTCGAAGTGGTAGAAGGAAATATGAGCGGTTTTAACACATTGATTGTTCTGTGGATTTCTTGGGCTAGCCTTCTGTCTGAGGCAGCAAGAGCTGCTTGTTTGAGCCAAGTCTCTAGCTAAGCATTTCAGTTGATACATGGGTGTGAACTTCGCGGCTTTTCTTTTTCCTGGGAGAAGATCCCCATGACACCAAATCTAATTCTACCTTTTTTCTGAATAGGTTCTAACATCTCTCCTGAGAGGATGAAACTGTATATAGAAAGAAAGCAACCAACTGCTGCACTAATGTGGGAAAATGGTTCATATTGTTTACTGTCTCAGCTCAAGCGACAGAACTTCATGTACTACTGCTTATATTCTGGACTTATTTTGGACCAGCAAATGTCAGCTGGAATATTCTTTGGAAGAGGGAATGTGTTCAGGGGTACCTTCTTCAGGGTGTCTTTTTTGTTTGGGTTTTTTTTTAAGTGCAGACTAACTTACACAGTTCTTCTTTCTGGGTCTCTCAAAGGCTGCTATAGTCTAAGCTTGAAGTCAGACTCCTTTTCTGAACCCTGAAGAAGATAAATCATGCTATTTTAACATGGAACCAAAGCTCACTTGAAATAAACCAGCTATAATTTGTTTGTTCCGAGTAACCAAATGGATTCTTTGGTGCTGCTGGTCTCTCTGTTCTCAGCAGCAGGTGTGAAGTAGCACTTGGTATCTGGAAGAATGGATTCCTGGTGCTGGGGAGTTATGTATATTGTCACTTGGGAATACTGGATTGTTGATCATGTAGTAGTGTAACTGACTGTGCAACTGTTTGTCGGCTGGTACTCACGTGGAGGTACTGCAGGTTTACACAGAACCGTGGCTCTCCCTCGAGCTGAAGGGGGCTGGGTGTTCCCAGAGGCTCGGAGCTCCTTACTGGGTCAGGGCAGTGTGGGGGGACAGCGTGCTGCGCCCTCGGCGGGACAGGAGCGGCAAGTGTCTCCGCTCCTGTGCTCAGAATAAAGCGTTTTTGGCAGTAGTTGACTGTCTGGGAAGGAGACCCGAAGCTCTGACTTCTTGCCTCAGTTTGTGCCTCGCTCGTAGGTGGTACCAAACGCAAACAGTTCTCTGTACACTAGTAGACTGTGGTGGAACACTATGGAATGTTTTCATTAAACTAGGGATGGGAGTCCATATAATGAAGCTTAACAGATGGGCATGTTTAATTTGTTTCCTCTATACCCCCCATACTGTAAATAGTTTAGTTGTTTTTCTTTTGTTTTTAAAAATCTGTATGTGGGGAGAGGGGCTGGGAGGGGGGTTACCTTTGTTTGCATGAATAAGTGGGTTAAATTGCTATAGGCATGTGTCCCTTTTTCGGTTGGTAGGGAATTTTGTTGAAAAAGCACCTTGATGACTGAACCCCTTACATAGCTAGAATTTTTTAGTTATGCATTGACCTAGGTTACTGTAAAAGCTTGGATTTATTTTTGTAGGACTTTATTGCTAAGAATTAGAACATAGCAGTGGGGCTGCTCTTTGGAGTAATGTAAATTGTAATTATAATAAACATGTAAATGTTTAAAGCTTCCCTCCTACTTTGTTTTGTACGTGGCTCAGTAACATCAGTCTGTGCAACTTGTCAGGTGCCTGTCCTAGCAGGGCTCTAACCCAAGTCAGAGAAGACGGGGCCGCAGGGTTCTGGCAGGCCTGGAAAGCGTTACACAGGATTTGAAATGGGCTTAAAAACCCTCATCCCAGCGCTGACCCCCTTGTCCCTGTTGCCCTGTGTTCCTGTGTTCCGTCTCTCTTGTTGAGGGGTCTGCCTAACGAGCGTTCCTCTTGTCCAGACCGCCCTGAGCGTGCACCGTGCTGTGTGACTACCTGGCGGAGCCCGACTCCTTGCGCTGGTGGGGTGACTAGAGCTTGTTTTGGGTGGTAGCGCTGCTGGTTCAGTAGCCACAGATGCCTTCGGTGTCTGGGCTCATACCAGCAAAACAGGGTGTGTGCTGAAACCGCTTACTTGGAAGCTGCTGCAAGCCTCTAATTTCTCTGCTGACAAAACAGCCGGCATGACATTAAGTGTAAAGATGGAATTGCGCTGCCAGAGTCAACTGACTTGTCTGAGGTGACTGTGGCAAAATAGGAAAACATCATTAACTTCTGCGTGATAATGCCTTTTCATTTAAGGCAGTAATTCCCCTTGTTTCTACTGTAAAGCCTCGGAGCTAATATGTAAGACACAGCCATTGCTCCTGCTGCAGTTACTGTACCATGGACGTGTCCCAGCCTCTCCAGTCGAGCGCTGTACCTGGCTCATTCTGGTGTATGGGAGCGGCGTGAGGGGACTAACGGCTGCGGCTCAGCCCCTGGGCTCACGAACTGCCGGCCCTTCTCCAGCGGGAACACTCGTTCTGTTGGGGCAGGCGGCTCGCAGCCCTGTCAGCTTCCGCGTGGAAGATTCCCAACACGGAATGGTGGTGGTGACTTGCGTGGGGAACCAAACACAGCTTTTGTAACTGCAAAATTCCAGTCCAAGGACGGATGAACGAAACAACACAATTCCAGCAACTCGTTTTCTCTAGCTGAAGTGGTCTAACGCTTTCCTGAGCAGAAGCAGTGCCGCAGCTTTCCTGTCCTTGATTCCTGTGGGATGCTCTGCCCACACTTTGCTTTGTGGCATTTAGCTGTAAACAGCTCAGCTGTGGTGCGAGAGGCCAGGGAGCGTGTGAGAGTTACTGCGGGTTTGTATCTGCTGCCCGGAGCAGTCCCAGCGGTGTCTGAGCGGCCTTCCTAGGGATGCTGGGGGGGGGGGGGGGGGGGGGCGGGGCTTGTGTAGCTGAGCTGCCTCCTGCGGGACACTGGGATGCTTTCAGTCCTTGCTGTGCCTCCTGCGGGACACCGGGATGCTGTGTCTGAAGAGACAGATGATGTCTGGGATGCAGACTGAAGAGCTGCTTTCAAAGGCTGTTCCGGTTCCTCGGTGGCTCCAAGTAGGGAAACTTTTATCATGAAGCGGAACCTGTTACTACTGCAAGCAGTGCAAGTCTTGTGGGTAAGAGCTCAGGTGGGGGAGAGGCCTGAGGCTTCTCCGAGATGGAAAAGACAACACTAAGCATGACGGCACGACTTAGTGAAGTGACCAACTTTCCCCTTCCCTGAAAGCTGGGAGTAGAGATGCCCAGACAGGAGGGACAAAGCCTTTTATTGTGCTTAAGGGCTGTATTGAAAGATAAATAAGGCCCCAGGAACAAAAGGAAATAAAACCATTTTTAACAGGGAGACGAGGAGGAAGATGGGGCTGGCGCCAGTCCTGTTCACCCCTGTGCAGCATGAGGGACGGACCTGCTCTGTCCTGTACCCACCTTGTTTCAGAGCTGTGCAGGCCTGTGGGCCAGCGGGAGGAGCCTCGCCTTGGCAGGAGCAGGATGGAAACCCCTGCCTGTTTCTGCCTCCTCTGCGTCACAAAGGGCCTTAGAGTATAGGCTGTAGTCGCCAGAGAACTGTCCTGATCAGCCGCCTCGCAGAGCAGAGATGGTGACAGCAGACCGGTCGGCTGGAAAGAGCTTTTCAATGACCAGAACCGGAGAGTGGAGATGCCACGATGCAAATACCAATGTGAAATAAAATTCCCTATTTCCAGTCACATCCCCTTTGGGCTAGTTTTATACCATTTCAGTAAACAGTTGTCACCTGACACCTTCAAATGTATGTACTTCTAAGTTTATTACATTATACACGTTAGTGTCTGCAGCAAGTAGCTAGCACAGTGCAGACCCTGCCTCTCAAGAGGAACGTGACGTTGGTGCCCAGCAGCGTGGCGGCAGGTCTCTGCCTCCCTTACAGCATCTGAGTGATCTCCCTCCGCCGAAGGGAAGAGCGAACTGGCTCACGCCGTTGCTGGGACTGGGAACAAACAGGCCCGACCAGAAGCTGAGTTAAACCCAGCTCCTGCGGGTAGGATGCACAGAAGCAGCAGTGTGAAAGCAAACACCAAAGGAGAAACGGGACTAAAGCTTTGTACTTTCACTGTGTTGTATGTAACATTCTCTATGGTTATTTTTAGCATTAGGAAGCAACTGGTCTATAAATCCCCTAGTGGGCAATCACAGAAAAAAAAAAGCATAACTCCGTATTAGTTATGTTCTGTTGAGGTCATAACGCAACGCTTGAGACAGCTACTAAAAAAAAAAAAGCAGCTAACAACTGAGACAGCCTGGAAGAGACTCATTAAACAAACTGCAGCAGCTGAGGAGAAAAATGCAAACAGAGTCTTTATCCTTTAATGGGTCACTACTGCTGGTTTGTAGCCAGCCAAATAATCCTAGGTTATTAAAATCCAAGGAACAGACAGATTTTTTTAAAATAACAGCTTAAAAAAAAAAGTCAGTAGGTTTATTGTAGGTCTCGAGAGCACAGTATGAGTAAGTGGAATGCCTACACGTTGTCTATACAGAATAACCCATCACTTGAATTAAAAAGAAGGAGCTAAGCAGTTGGATTTCATTCATCATGATGTTTTCTTCTGTTTTTTCTTTTCATTTTCTTCCTTTTCTTTTTCAATTTCAGCAACGTACTTCTCAATCTCTTCAGGGTTTAGGATCTAAAACAGAAACACGGGTGACCCTCGAGATACTAATACAACCGAGAGGCTTTTTATTTAAGCAATTCTAGTTCTGACAGGGAGAGAAAGTTAACTGGTATTTATACAGACACAGGTACCTTGTGCAGACACAACAACATTCCTTGGCCACTAATAATAAACAGAAGTATTTGCCAGGGCGGAATGGGAGATTAAGGGCTGGAAGTTAATGCAGATCAACAAGGACAGTATCAGAGAAACCGGCTACGGAGGGAGAAAAGCAAAACAGAGCCCTTACCTTCAGCGGCTGCTCTCGCCTCATAACCGCCAGCTCGATGTTCTTCCCACCAGACTGCACAACCTTAACGAGAGTTAGATGTAGGTATTATTAATTAATTCTAACAGCCCCCTTTCAGGTCTTCTTTGAAGGAGCAGAGATACGGATGGGGAGCGTTTCCCTCACTAGCTCTAAGCTCTCGACTCCCGTAGCAATGTAACTCTTCAAAAAAATAAGGGTCTTCCTTCTGGCATCAACGCACGCAGTGGCTGGTGAAGAACACCTCATTTCCACCATCTGACTCTTGGTATTTTCTGTATCTTCAGCTTCAACAAAAGAGCAAAACATTCTGCATATGGTTTAGCACATCTTTGGTGTGTTTGTTTTAACACCCAGAACCGAAGTCTGTTTTCCTTCCCAGAGAGCTGGTAGTAAGTTCTTCTGTGTAAGCTACGGAAAGCCTTACCTGAAATATTCTGAGCCTCAAATTTAATCCCACGTGTATGGCCTACCACAAACAGTTTTCACAGACCCTTTTACAGGAAACCCTCATGCACGTCACAGGAAAGCACACGTACTCACAAAGTTAATCCAGACATACGGTGAAAAGTCACACAGGGGATTTGAAACAGACTCACCTCAAGAAGAGCCTTGATGACAAGTTTAATAGTTAGATCGTCTGTTTCAATGGCTTCGTCAGTATAGTTTTTCTCCAGAAATTCACGCACAGATTTGGCTCCTCTGCCAATGGCATTAGCCTGGAAACATCGAGGGGAAAAAAGAGAACGAACAGAA